GAGGCAGCTACAAACATGGTGAGGGACACTGAGATAATTAAGGGAGTGATACATCTCTCCAGTGAGGGAAAACTGAGAAAGCTGGGGCTGTCTAGCCTGGGGAACAGAAGGCTTGGAGGATCTCATCATTGTGTATAAATACTTGAAGGGAGAGTGTAAATAAGATGGTGTCCAGTGAMAAGGTGAGAGGCAATAGACACAAACAGAACAGGAATTTCTGTCTGGACATCAGGAAATTCTTTTCAGTTGTGAGCATGACCAAACACTGGCACAGGTTGCACAAAGATGTTGTGAAATCTACATCTTGGAATAATCAAAAGCTGTCTAAACACAGATCTGGGCAACAAGCTCGAGATGACCCTGCTTGATCAGGGACTTGGGCGGATGATTTCCAGGGTCCCTTCCAATCTCAATGATTCTGTGACTCAATGATTCTGTAACTCTTTCTATAGGCAAATATACTTGCCTGAAAACAGCGCTCAGAGTTGTTACCTTAAGTAATTGTTAAAGTCCAGAGGATAGTTTCATCTTGTTCTCTCTGAACACTCTTAGAATTGACAGCCTTAGGATTTATAAGGCTTTACTCAGCAGTACCTCCTATTTATCCTTCAGCCTACTGAGTATTCCAATTTTCACAGTGTTTAATGTCTTTTTCATGAAATAAAACAAAAGAAAAAACACAAGAGTTCCTCAATATCCCATAACCATAAAACTCCAAAACTACCTGTTCTTGAAATTGAAGACGTTTTTTAATATGGWCATGAATCTTTAAGAACCTAGTATAAAATTATTTCATAGAGCTGTTCAAATACTTGATGAATTATGCTGTTTCAAAGCAGTGTGTCTAATGTATTTTTTTTCTGACAGGCGATACTGAAATAGAAACAGGTAGGAACTGGCATATCTTCCAAGAATCTAAAATGACAAAACATGTTGATTAGTCAGAAAAATAACCCCATCAAGTCTTTTATTCTACTTTTTACTGATTTATTTTCCCAGTTTAAACATTTCCTCATGTAGATATTCCAAGATATTGTTGATATCTGGTGATCTATGTGGAACACCAATTAGAGCTAATTGCTTATTTTTTAGAACCTGTTGTGGTTTATCTGATTTGTGTATAAGCCATTTAAGCAGTGCAAAGATCACTGAGAAACCATGTTAAATCTGGTAGATGATAATAATGTTACTTTTTTTCAGAAAGCACCACAAAAGCAATGGAATTCTGAGCCTTGCAGTGCTTGAGATGATACACACTAAATGAGAAACTGTGGCTGTCACTAGAGGGAGTGCCTATAACACTGGAAAAATATGCTTGTCAACTTTTGCCATGTTTAAATTAATAGGGATCTGCAGGGATCTTTGAAAAAGCACCAGAAAGAAAAAAATCTGCAATATACTGTGATTTGAAAGTGCATTTCTTTCATATTTTTTTGTTTGAATCAGAGCACAAGACATTTTAATTGATAAAATTATTAATTTCTCTAGCCTCAGGGCATAAAGGATTATGAATTCATATTCTTAGGATTATATTTATAATTGTGGATGTACATTTCTTGGTGATACTTTTAACACATCAACTGTTTTTAGTATATAAAGGAGGAACATTTATTAGTATTCTACAGGGGGTGAAAAGTTGCCACTCTAAGCTGCTAGATGCCATTACTTTTCAAAACTGATGTGGTCATAACTATTGATTATTGTTCTACTTAAAGCCTAAAACACTTACAGTCTTGACTAAGCTAAGCAATTGTTCCATCATTCCTTCAATACAGGTCATGTTTCTAATTCTCTCCTTTTCCTTACTATCCTGTGAATAATCCTGTTTGTCTACTTCTTGATGATAAAGCATTCCAGATAATTCTGTAAATGCAAAGTGGAATAATTGCAGCATATTCCCGTGGCCAGGCAGGACAGTTGGATGCCAGCCCCTCTGTGCTCTGCTGGGGCAGGGRCTGATAGCCCTGGAGGCTGACAGGGTCCTGGGCTTTGTGCAGGCTGGGGGAAGGTGCTGGTGGAGGCCAGACAGGGGCAGTCAGGTCCCTCAGTGCCCTCAGCTCTGACAGGTTGCTCTAGAGGGGGGCTGCAGAYTGTGAGCCGAGCGTGGCCACAGCACAAAGGGTGACCTTGCCAACAGGACACAGTTCTGCAGCATCKGAGCAAGACTGAGTTGGTGATAATGATAGTTACAGCGAGACAAGGAATGAAAACAGGGGCAGGGTACAGGTGGGAGGAGCAAGAGACAAGACTACAATGTAGGTCCAAGGCCTATCAAGGAGACAAGACTGGAGAGAAGACCAGAGACAAGTGTTGCATTCCACACAGGTCCCCAGTATGTGCAGGAAAACCAGTCAGCAAGACAGGGCTTCAGGAATCAGGCTGGGATGAGTTCAATTTTTAAATAGCTCAGGCCTGAGCTGACCCAGAGCCCCAGAGCTATCACAGTGGGTTCATGGTGCTGAGGTGGGCAGGTTGGCCAGGGCAAAGCCYTGAAGAGGAAAACAACTAAATGGTGTTTGCAGACTTGTAACCAGCAAATTCCTTAAATGTGCTAGAAGCTACAAAGCAAACATCATAGTCCTTAGAACATAACTTTCTGAGTGAAGTCAGTGCCCATGGAAACACTGTGTGCAACAGTAATTTTTAACCTCAAATTCTGTTGATGCTTCTGGGCTAGGGATGTAAAACCCGAGTCCTGAAGGATGTGAATTCTGACCTGAAGCTCTTCCAAAGCTGAAGTCACATGTTCTGTCCTGTTTCCTTCAAGGCTATTGGGCCTTCAGTGAGAGGAGTCCCTTGCTTCTCTCATTTATGCTTCAAGCCCATATACTAAGCAGTTCTTTTTTATTTTAGAATCTGTTCAGAAGATCTTCATGCCAGCCTTGCCATATCTTCATTATACAATCTTTTATMGTTTCCATTTTTGATCCCTTAGAAATAACTGGGAAGATACTTTTCCTTCCATTAACACTTTCTTGACTCTCACCATTGCCAAAGATCTGTTGCCATGCCAGAGATACAGATGCCAATACCTATGTGAATGCTCTTTTCCTAATAAATGGAAGGTAATTAAAAATACTTTGCTCTCAGTGAAAGAGTGAAAGAAGCAAATTACCCTTCCTCTCGTTTAACAGTCTGAAACATAGTCATGATAGAGGAGCTAATGCAGGTTATCCTATTAGTAAAGGTAAGTAGTGTAAGGATACCTTTAGTACACCAGGCGAGTGAGTAGGATTTGGTTTATGATAGCCTGCTGAAATGACTCAAATCTTGGGACTACTTATCTTCCCACCAATAAAACTATTTTTCATTTGTTTTGTCCAGTGATACATGAAAAGTAACATTGAAGTTGGAATAAAAATGGGCGAAAGGCGGGCTGCCAGAGGGTACACACAAGATATTGCAACAAATCACTCCAGCAGTACTGTAATTAGAGACAAGAAACACATCTGTCTTTGCTGGCAAATTAGGTCATGTTGTGAGAAGTAAGAACTCCTCTGTTGTGCTCAGAGATATACTAAGTCATCAAGATTGGTTGTGAGAAAACAGAGATTAAGCTGGAAGAGAATTTTATGCTGCTTGAAGATAACAAGCTTCCTCTGGACAGTGCCAGGCAATGTTGTTTGCTGGATGTAACAGCTATGGCTTGTACTCACTGCACCTGGAAATCAGGTGTAGAATAGGTGTATGACAGCTAAGAGATGGGTCCAAAAGACAGCAGAAATTCCTTTGATGATATTTTTGTTTTGCTAGAYGGTTTTTATGGTTTGTATCAGCCTGTGTCAACCAAAATATTCCTTTGCCAAAGCTAAAAGGAACATAAATTTTCATTTCTCATTTCTACTAAGTTATACAGTGTCCCTGGGACAAGCTGCTACTTTGGCAGTAAGAAGCAGAAAACCAGAGCAGAGGTTGATCTCCTGGGAAAACCCTGTAGGCAGGTATAGTACTGCATGATTTTTGTAGTATGTAACACATTAGGTGAAGTTCATTAAGTGGCTGGTTACTCCCATTGGATCCAAGGCAAGACTAACTCCACTAAACTTTCATGTTTGTTTGGTCTCTGATATATCTGCATTTGATTTTTTAAGATTATGACCTTGGAGAAAAAAGAAGGCATGAGGAGAAAAAGATGACAAGTCCCACAGATCCTGGCAAAAGCCTCTCTGCAGTATAGGTGGGTACTGGAATGTTGTGGTCTAATTTATACTGTGCATAAGTTACATTTCCAAGTTTCCTCCTCTGAAGGTTACAAACATTTATGTTGACATTTTTCTTGTTGCATGCTTACAAAAGGTGACAATAATTCCACCTTATTTCTGTCAAGGTTAGTTTTTTCCCCATTATTTTCTTTGGTGAATGAATTTTATCTTTTCTAATAATGTGGGAAATGCTACTCTCTTCTCTTTTGCCCTATTGTGTGATTTTTAAAAGCGCTGTTTTGAATTTTCAGTGCTTTTTAAACTGCTTTACATTTAGTCCATATCTAACTTGCAGTCAGTGAAATTTTGCTCCWTGTAAAGGTCTGCTGTAATTTCACTGCTTTCACATGTGAGTTAGTATGACTCTTACTCAGCCCCCTTTCTCCTCCTCCGTTCTGCAAAGGTGCCGGAAGGAATGGTCGGAGTCCGACGTTTCGCCGCTGCCTCGGAAAGCGCCTCGACGGGCCGGTCCCGCTGCCGGCTCGCGTCTCGCCCCGGGCGGGCAGAGCAGGGTTGGGCAGAGGCTGTCCCGGGTAGGGCAGTGCCCGCTCGCCCCGCGCAGTCCCGGCCGCCCGCGGCAGGCGGCCCCGGCACCCGAGGCTGCGCTGGATCCGCCGGCCCGCGGGGAGCGGAGGGGTCCCGGGACCGGCGCGGCGCTGCCGCGGTGAGAGYCTGTGCACGGGCGCTGCCGGGGGAACGGGCCCCGGGGGACCCTGCGGGAGGGGCGCCGAGGAACAGGGAGGCCAGATCGGTGTGGGGAAGGATGGCCGGCGGGGTGGGCGCGGGGTCTGGGTCAGGAGACGGACGGGCGCCCAGGGCTCGCTGAGACCTTTCCTGACCCTGCTTAGGARGAGGCGGCGTTGTCCAAGCACAGGTGCCGCCTTTCCCCGGCAGCTTCTCCCGGCGGGGCAGSGTCGTCTGCCCCTGCAGCGTTGGGGTCTCCTCGTCCCCTCGGAGAAGCGAGGGGCAGAGCGGGAGCGGACGGCGGAAGATGCTGTGCCTCACGGTAGCCTTCCAGTTGCTGCTGGTGCTGGTGCTGTGCAAGCAGGGCACAGAGAGGTGTCCTTCAGCCTTCTGCGAGTGCTCCGACTGGGAGGAGTACAAAATCACTTGCAGGGACATCCACTACATTCCCAGCCTTCCAGAGGACACCCAGACCCTGTGAGTACTTGGGATAGTTTAGCGAAGCCAGCTGTGAGTATTCATACTTTGCAGACGGGAGATGCTCTGAGCTAATGTCCTGTGAGCTGAGGAAGTGGTGAGAGGGCAGAAGTGCTGCAGATTACCTGAGCGGTACAGGACATGGGAACGGCAGCATGCAGACTGCGTGTGGCAGGAGGAGGTAGGAAAAGTGACTCGCAAACCTTAAAGAGCTGTGAAGAGATGGTTGTTTATTGGGTCTTTAGAATTCTGTTAAAATATGGGAAAATTAGTAACTGGGCTGTTTGTGGGCGAAGGAAGCAGTAAGCTGGATTCTGTGCGGCAAGTGTGTAGGGGATCAGGGGAAGGAAGGAGTAATCAAACACAATTTTATAATTAAAAACTAATAGGAATTGGATGTCACCAAGAGTTACATGAAATACTCTGTGCATTTTCAGCTTCTTTTCAAAGCCAGAAAAAAATAGAATCCATGGGAATTGAGAATCCCAGTATACCACCATCTGGGAGACTGAATACTTCAGAGAAAATTGTGGAGTATGGGATAAAGCAGCAAATTTAGAGCTTGCCAAAGTGATAGAGTAATTCAGGTACCTAAGCATAATTGTTTGGTGCCATTATRGGCACAGTAGAAGACCTTGTATGGGTTTCTGCTGCCAGTCCAGTGTCATATCTGTTAGTTAAATACTGTAGTGAGACTGAAATGGCACCTGTCAGCTAAAATTGAGCAAGTGAATCACTCCTGGCTTTTACTTTGTCTCTTRTGGTACGAGATATAAAAAGTTTCTAGTCTCCATGGGAAGGTTCATTTGTAAATATAGATTACATTCTGGTTAAGTTAACTAGCTCAAACTTGGTTGATTTAATTGCAAGATAGAACATCAACAGATTGATTGGTTTATGTCTTGATAATGATTCTCTATTATCTATTATTCTCTATTATTATCATTATTCTAATGATAATAAAGGACTTTATTTAAAATATGAACCATTAAGCTACATGAACATACTTGAATGCTTCTCAAGGTTTTTTTAACATCTGAAAGTAAAGGCTGATATTGATCACTTGCCTAGAAAGAAAGAAAAAARTATTTATGTTTTTTCCATTATTTTTTTCATGCCTTGAACTTTTTTGATGATTAGACTGCAGAGTTTCAGTTAATAAGATTTTAAATTATACAAGTTTCATTTGATTATTATACTTTTATATACACAGTTTATTTAGATTGAAATTTCAGTAATGTTACTATATGCACCAAGTAGTATGTTCTTTGAAATCTACTGTGACAAGTTAGAAAATAAAGCAGTTTCAGTTTATAGGATAAATATGCCTTTGTACAGACATTTAAAATAGTTAATAGAAACCATGAGATCACATAATGAAATGTGATACTTTCCTTGAAAAATGCTGGCTTGATGGCTGAGAAGTACCTCTCTACACAGTTCCACAAATAAAGCATTTTGGCCGCTGGAATTGCAGTGTTTTAAACACTTTTAGTAATGGGGGCTGTAAGATCATAAGCCACTGTTTTGGAAAAACAAAAACACCTAGTGAAGATCTTATTTCCATTGGAAAAATAATTAACAAAAGCAACTGAGAAATATTTTTGTTTATTTTGGGTGAAATTTAATCATGTGCACCAACTAGAGCAACCACTGCAAACTTCTCAAGCCATGTACTCCCTATCATATCAAGAAAATATTCCAGGTAATGGCAATTTTGATTTTATAGTCTATGGCAGAAATGGTAAAACGGGCATTTTATAGCCTTTTATTTGAAAACAAATGGGAAAATTACCTGAGGAAATAAGGAAAACAGAGCTCTTTTCACATACAGATGCCCCAAACCAACAAACAAAACACAATCCAACCAACCAACCAACCAACCAACCAACCAACCAACCAACCAACCAACCAACCAACCAACCATCCAACAACAAAACAAACCAAACAAAAAAACCCACCTTATTTACTTCAGTTTGAAGTTTTCTCTCTAGATAAAGTGTGTATATTTTCCTTTTGTTTTTTATTTGAATTGCTGAAGTCTGGTGGACTGTATCTGATTCTGTAGTCCCTTGCTCTCTGCAAATGTCTTATTACTTCTTYCCCTCCGTATGTGAAATGGGAGTCATAACAGTTACTTATATTTGTTTTGTGTTCAGAGTGCTTTCAGATGCTTCAGACTAGATTGTTTGCATATGGCACATAAAATAACACACAGAGTTTTCCTAAGAGATTTTAAAGTGTGTTCCTGATTCTGTCATGTTTTCTTCCTTTTGCCTTACAATGGGGAACAGTTCTGAATCAAAGACAAAAGATTCCAAAATAATTGATGTTACTGTTAACTTTAAAAGCAAATGAACACTTATTTGAGGTGAAATATGTAGCTGTACATATTTGCACATTTTATGTTGAAACCCTCTACAATTTTCCCTAAATTCAGCAATTCTGTTACTTTAGAGAAAGTAATTCTGCTTCTTGATGGTATGTGTGAATCTCAAGATTGCCAATTTAAAAACTTCTTTGTGTGGCTATTCAGTTTTGTAGGGTTTGTAGGACTAAGAGGCTGGTGAGTCTAGGAACACTTTGCCAGCTTTTGGAGATGATGAGCTCTTTTCAGTGCACAGGATCTTGAAACTCCAATTAAAGTTTCATTCTGATTATTCAATCAGGACTGTTCTCATTTCTTTACCCTACTTTAAGAGAATGGGGCAAACCCTTTTTAACAAACCATGCTTATAAGAAATTCCAATAAATGTTTATTTCCAATTATTTTAGTAGAAAAGTGACATGAACTTAAGCCAAGAAATTGTGTTTATTTTAAACATTTTATTTATAATGTATTTATCCAAATATAGTTAATGCAGGTGCTTRTTCAGAATGCCTGAACCCACAGATATTGATCATGGAGATGTCTTTTTTCAGTACCAATTTTTTTTTTGTTTAGTTTCTTTTCTGGGAAATGAACAAAATGAGTAGAAAGAAAACTGGTTTTCATGTTATAGGTAATTCTTGTCTTGTTGCCTGAAGTTAAGGACTATATAATATATATAATTATATGTAGGATTAAATAATCTCTCTCCCTCCCCTCCCCTCCCCTCCCCTTCCCTTCCCATTGGTACCCAGGTGCTATTTTCACATCAACATAATCAAATTTGATTGAAATTGAACAAGAGGAAGTTAGACAGGGAAAGTAGAACTGGTATATAAATAGACACAAACCCAGTACAGTCTTCAAGAACATGCTCTTTTCATTGGGAATTAAGCTACAATTCTCCATCTGCTCCAGGATATTGGCCATAGGTAGGATACTACCTTTTGATAAATGCAAGGTAGCTCAGCCTTCAGGTACAAGGAACCCTGACGTGTGTCATGTTTACTATGTTGGCATGGGTGAGCATGTGGAGACCAGGCTAAGATGTAATAAATCAGCTGGTCTGTTTAGTTCCCCACGCTCTTGTTAGCTTTTAATAAAGGACATATGGAAACAAAGAATTGTCTGAAATTCAGAGATATTATAACTTCATGTAATTCTAATTGTTATCTTTTTATAGACCACATTACTTCAGAATTAAGTAAGGAGCCTCATAAATGCATCTTCATAAACAACCCTGCAACATAAGCACATAATTATTATCCCTATTTTAATGCTGACGTACTGAGAGCCTAAAAGAACATGAAAAACACTGACATGGTTAGACAATGAAAGGAAGCTATTAGAATATCCTTCAGAAAATGGAAGTCAAGCCCAAAGAGGGAAATCTTTGGAAGCCTGAAGTAATACAACAAAAAAGTATTCTGAAGAGAAACTTATAATATAAAAATCCAGTATATTAATGTAAAATATAGCATTTAAAATATATCAAATGGTAAGACTGAAACACTTCTATCAAATTACAGTGTCAGCATGAATTTTGTTTGAAACAAACTGAAAAAATTGAGTAGATTTAAATTCCCTGAGCCAGGTAATACTTAYGTTAGTTCCAAAGGCAAAAAATTGCTGCATTGCCTAATGCAGTATGTAACTTACTGTTTAATTTGGCCATAGTGACAAAAGAATGGAAGGTCACAAGTGTAGCTTAATTCTTTTTAAAAATGCTGTAAGGAATACCTTKGGAACTAAATGCTTGTTGGTCTGTCTTCTTTGAAAGACTCTGAAAAACAGAAAGGAATCGTTCTGATTGGATAGGGTGTAGTGTTTGCTGGGTCAATGATGCTCATAGGATGGGATGGCCAGGCCCAGAGAGCRGTGGTGAATGGAATTACATCCAGCTGGCAGCTGGTCACCAGTGGTGTTCCCCAGAGTTCAGTGTTCAGTCCTGTTCAATATCTCTTTCGATGATCTGGACAAGGGAATCGAGCACACCCTCAGAATGTTTGCAGTCAACACCAGGCTGAGTGGGAGCRTTGATCTGCTGAAGAGTAGGAAGGCTCTACAGAAGGATTTGGATACGGGTCATGAAAACTCCATTCAGGGTGAGAGAAGAGTGGCTGGAAAGCTGCCTGGAGGAAAAGAACCATATATTCTGTATATGCTGGAGGTAATATAGAATGGTTACACTTCTTGAAATAATGTTTTAGTTGCAATTAGTTAATTTTCAAAAAAATATTGCRTTGTTTTTATTTGTAAAAGTATTTGACTGTTTCTGAAGACAAAAAGATTTAAACCTTCTTAAAATAATTAATTTTCTACCAAACACTATAATACTTATCAAATCCATTAAATCATTTTATCAGTTGTCTTTCAGTTAATGATTTAAATAATTCTGTGTACAGGCTGCCACATAAAAGGTTTCCCAAATACTGTATTTTACAAAAAAGTTACACTTTCATGTCAAATCTGATACTCATTGATATATTGACATACATATTTTGCTTAGAAAGGCATGGTATTGCTTCTATAATCCTGCTGTTAACATACGAAAGTCTTGCATTTGACATACAGTAGGTCCAACACACTAGGTCAAAAAATTAGAATTGTCATCTCAGTTAAAGTGAAATGT